TGGCACGAGCTTACTCAGGTCATGGAGCCAGGCACCTGGCACCCTCAGGCCGGAGGCAGGGGAGGTGGATAAGGCCCCACCAGGCACCTGCCTCCCGCCCGCCATACTCATGGGGCAACGCTGAACAGGGTGAGGCCGGCACAAAGGCTGAGGAAAAAGGGAGCCCAGACGCGGCTCCACAGCCACTTCCCAAAGCGCCACGAGGGCCTGGAGCTCAGGGAATTACGGAGCTTGGCTGATGGGCAAGGTCCTTGTGGCCCTGCCTGCCCCCGGGCGGTGGCTTTGAGGGGCCTCAGCTGCTGAGGGGGAAGGGCCGGTTCCAGACAGGGCCCCAGGGGGCTGCTCTCGAGCTCTGAATCAGGTTGGTGGTTGGCCTGTGCCCCTGCGGTGGGTGGGTCCTGGGACTGCGCATCCCTACCCCCTGAAAGTCAGTCCTGACCATCCCGCAGGTTCCAGCAGCACCTGGAGCAGGAGCAGTGGGCGCTGCAGCAGCAACGGCAGCGGCTGTACAGCGAGGTGGCTGAGGAGAGGGAGCGACTGGGCCAGCAGGCAGCCAGGTGCCGCCTGGGGGCACCATGCCCTCTCCCAGAGACCCTTCCCACCTGACCCCTCACCCGCTGACCTCTCCCATCCCTGACTCCTTCCTCTATGACCACTCACCTGTTGACTCCTCCCTGGCCACAGGCAGCGGGCGGAGCTGGAGGAGCTGAGGCAGCAGCTGGAGGAGAGCAGCTCTGCGCTGACCCGAGCCCTGAGGGCGGAGTTTGAGAAGGGCAGGGAGGAGCAGGAGCGCCGGCACCAGGTCTATGGCCCGGGAGGCTGTGCTGGGCCTGGCCGGGGGTCTGGGCAGGGTGGGACTGACTAGCCTCTTAATGTCCACCCCCAGATGGAGCTGAAGGCCCTGAAGCAGCAGCTGGAGCTGGAGAGGCAGGCGTGGGAGGCCGGCTGTGCCAGGAAGGAGGTGGGGGCCTGGGCGCCCAGGTGGGCAGGGGTTGGGGGCTGCCCCGGGTGGGCCCTGCTGCCATGGCATCCCGGGGTCTCGTTTCTGGGAGTCACATGTGGCTACTTGGGGTTGTCGTCTGAGCTGACGCTAGTATGTTGCTTTCAGCCCACATTTTGTGTGGGCTCTGGAAGGATCAAGGGTGCCTGGGGCGCATCCTCTGTGGTCCGAGAACAGGTCTTGCACCCCTCGCTAGGGGCTGCTCCACCTGTGCGTCCCATGGCCAGCCCACCAACACTCAGATGTACAGAGGGGCACACGCACAACAGGGCCCCCC